ATAGCGACATCAAATATAGTGAAAGCAGGGGTTATACTGTGGGGGAGGGACATACAAAGCAACAAAGAAATAATCTTATAAATGAGTTAGAAACAAATGCATGAAAGAAAAAAACATTTAAATACATATCTAAGGGTTCATTTTCCTAACATCACATTATCTGACCTTTTCCGCTTGACTCATACATATACTAGATATTGCAATTAAGGGAAACCATGGGATCTATGTTTCTTTGGGCTTGGCTTACTTCACTTAATATAATTTTTTTCCAAGCCTTTCCATTAACAATAACAACAAAATCACATTACAAAAAAAAATTAGAGGAAGCTTCTCCCTCCGTAGTGCTCCCTCAGTGATGACTTAGAAAAAGCCCTTTCTCAGGGGTTAGAGGAAAAGAGAATGATCAAGAGTAAAGAATATCAAAATATATTACGTCCTTTTATTAAAAAAAGAAAAAAGAAAGAAAAAGTATTCCTTCTAGATAATGACAACCCTGAGGACATGTGGCTTGGTAATTTCAGTTCATTCCAGCCCCACTTGCCCATTGGCTGGGTCCACAATTATGTATAATGGCCCTGATGAGTCACTTCCTTCCAAAGACTGACTTTGGTTATGTCTGCAAAGGTCCTTGCAAAAGAGGTTTGCAAGCCAAGCACTGGGAAAGGAGGAGCCATAGGCAGCTGGCAACCTGAGCTGCTCTGCAGGTTCCTCAATGCACTCCCATGGGAGGAAAGTGCAGGTGACAGCCTGGGACTGATGGCAGGACTCTTCTGGGGGCTGCAGGTCAGACCTGCCCACAACACCAAGCCTGGGATTCTGTAGAAGTTAATGCCAGTATAGAGTGGAGCCTGCTGACACTCAAGGTGACCCAATGAACAGTCTAAAATTCAAGCGCCCTGTGGCCCTGTAGCAACAGCACTAGAAGCCTGTGTATACCAACTGCACTGGTAACCTGTGAAAATCTGAAAGCATGTATACTTGGATCTGTATCCTGAGCATCCACCCAAACAGTACATGGTCTTCAAATAAATGTTAAATGAATAAGTGTTAAATGAGAAGACTGTCCTGAACAAACTGTTACCATGAGTAAAATGCTTTTATCAAAGGAGGAGTTGGGGCTGGGAATGTGACTTAGTGGTACGGTGCTTGCCTAGCATGCATGAAACCCTCAGTTCAATTTCCCAGTACCACATAAACAGAAAAAGCTGGAAGTGGCTCTGTAGC